TGGGCAGCTATCCAATTCGAACTATTCGAATAAGTGACAACTTATTCGAATAATTGGGGTTTTCCAAAAAAAACAGGCATGTGCTGAACTATTCGAATAAATGGACATTTATTCAAATAGTTGGGGTTCTACAAAACCAAGCCTATGCTGAACTATTCGAATAAATGTGCATTTATTTGAATAGTTCACTGTTTTAGGCCTTATTTGAGTACGTTTTCCACACGTTCAAAAATCCCATATTTTAGACTCTGATTATGAAAATCCAAAGGATTTTCATAAAGCGATAATGTCCAAAATAAAAATTTTTGGACATTATTAGCTCGACCCCAGCCAGGGGCTCTACCCCTTGGACCCCACTACCTGGGGCTGCCACCCCTGGACTCCCGTCGTGGAATTTCTAATATCGTTGAACGAGCGTGCCCCCGAACCCCGCAGTATTTGTTAGAGTATATAACAATCATTCCTGGGCCAGAACCACAAGCTTGAGCTTGTGGTTGAGTTGGTTCCTTGACATGGTATCAAAGCAGGTCCGGTCCGGGTTTGATTGTTCTTGGTTGTTTGGATGTGGTTTAGCAAAAATGAGCTACCCATCTGTGGTTTGGGCTGAGTTGGCTAAAAAGAGATTGAGATGCCACCGCCCGTTCTGTGGGCTAGCTATAAGAGATTGAGATGCTAGACCCGTTTATCCAAAAGCTAACTAGGCCTGGCTAGTTACCACTTGCGGGGGAGGGTTGGAGTTCCCACATTGGAAAATAAAGATGAGTATCACTAGCATATATAGAACGGTGAAGCCCTACCTATCAGTTTAAGCTTTTGGGTTCGAAACTCACCGCTACCCAGATTAAAAAAATTAAGGTTTCACGTGCAAGGCTCAAAGAAGTCACGCCTGCACGTGAGGGGGCGTGTTAGAGCATATAACAATCATTCCTGGGCCACAACCACAAGCTTGAGCTTGTGGTTGAGTTGGTTCCTTGACAATATTGTTCATGAAACACTTGATTTGTTGGAATGAACAAATTAAAGCAGACTAATTTTCACCAAAAAACGAGGAGGATATAAAACCGGAACACTATAGCTCTCGGAACATCTCGTATGCACCGCATTTCTGCACATGCATTTGGTTCAGTTTGGTTATTGGTTTAATTCGGTTTTATTTTTTCTAGTTTTGGTTCACGTTTATATCAGTTTGGGTTTATACAAGTTTGGGTTTATGACAGTTTGGGTTTATATCGATTCGAGTTTATGCTGGTTTCAGATGAGATCTTTTTGTATTAGGATTTTTATTGTTAGCCTTGTGTCAGGCTTCTCATCACTATGTGTAAACGGGGCTACATATACAAGTGTTACCAATAATGGGCTAGTATATGCTATAAATTTGTATATGCTCTATATAAAAATAAACAGCCACCTTAGTTTAAGTGGTAAAATATGGAGTAAGAGATTTGTATATGAAAGTAGTCGTACATAAACTACATATAATTCAAATATGCTTTTCTTAGAAAGACATCAAGTAATGATCTATTAGGTTTGACTAGATTTGAGCTTAGTTTGTTTTAAATTTGATCAATATCAGGTCTAATCGGTTTTGGGTCTAAGGTCATGTTCTCCTCAACTTATTCTTTTTTACTAATCCTTATTGGAATCAGATCAGAAACAACTTTAAATATAACTATGTTCAGCTCATATCAGAACAGAACTTATTCCAATCATATCACAACCATTTTGATCATGTGAAGAAAAACTAATCTAATCAATTTTGGGTCTAATCATTTCCAGGCTTAACCGATTCTGATTCAATTGAATTTCAATCTGAATCAAATCTGAATACATTTGAATTGGTTTTGGTTCGGTTGGGATCATTTTGAGTCATTCAGATTCGGTTCCAAGTTATTCAGTACGGGTTATAGGTCCGAGTTTGTTTTGTCAAGTCTAATTTTGCTAGTCCGCCACTATTCAGCCAGTGACACAAGTTCATGTTCGTTTAGCTGAGGCTAAATCATTAATTTGTCTATTCGATTCAAAAGTGCCCTAAATTCATGAACTGAACATCCTCAATTTATTCAAAACAATTTTTAAGAGAAATTCACCAAATTTAAAATGTCTAGTTCTAGATTTTGAAAATAGTATTGTGCAAATGAACGTGATCAATAATATTTGGTATAAACACATCAATGGATATCGGGCCCAATAAATATAAGACCAGCCCAATGCATTATTACGACATTGGTGTAGAGTGGGCTGATGGGAGAGTCATATGAAAGCTTAGGCCTGAGCATGGATGAGCTTGCAAAGAGGTGGTCAATCCCACAGATCGTGAGTGATTAATGACCGGTTCTCTGCCCATAATCCCCCCTGATCAGATCAATCATGGCAAAAAACCAGACAATAATAAATTACCATATGGCATATATACGTTGTATTATGTAAACTAACTATAAATAGGCAGTAACACCTCCACTTTAAAATCAAACTGAATTAAGCTAATAGATACATTAGCGAGATCATATTTCAAGAATTTTTGTTATTATTCTTATTATTGTTCTTCGTGCATCCGTAGTTGGTGGGCTGAAATCCATCACCCGTCAAATATTTAACTTCAATATTGGGTTGTGCATTTTGATTTAAATGCCTTATAATTAGAAGAGTTATATGCATGAATAGTCCATGTGGTCTTTCATAAATGGATAAATAGTTCTTGAACTTTCAAAAGATGCAAAGTAGTCCTTAGCTTGTGATTAAAGAGCTATTGTAAAACCAGACTCTACTCGAGAATTTGTGAAATGTGCATAGCGCGCACGTGTTATGCAAAACTTTGAATTACAAAACAATGAAAAAGATAAAATTAAGTTTCATTTTTGATGTGCAAGTTTGAACCATAGTAAAATATCTTCCATATTTTGGTTTAATTCTATTAACGACTTCTTTATATCTTCTTCAATAATGATATTTTAGAATCACAGAACAATATTCTATGTGAGCTTGACATTATTCTTCTTTTCAAGTAGCTTTGTTCTAGGGAAATATCGTGTGATATAAGTTTTGGAAAAAGATCATTCCTTATCTGTAACCAAGAAGAATAGGGCAGTATCATCAGATTAACTTCTTTTTTATTACAAACTTCTCATTTTCACACAGTACACACATCTTATGCGTGCTTCTCATTTTTTCTTAAAGAATGACTAATTATGCATCAATCCTTTGACCACAGGGACTATTTTACAACTTTTAAAAATACAGAGACTTAACTATTTATGAAAGATCGCATATACTATTTATGCATATATATATATATATATATATATATATATATATATATATATATAACTCTAATTAGATTTAGATGGCATAAAACTTAAAAGATTATTTATTTATATGGAGTACTTATATGTTGAGCTACGGCATGGGTAGCTCAACTGGTCCAATGAGAAAATGTCAAGTCAGTTGATCCTAGGGTCGAATTTCGGCAGCGACAGTGTGAGAGTTTTATTATTTGTAATAGCTCCTTATACGCACAGGATACGAGACAGCCTCTCTAAATACCAGATTAATGTTATCCCATGATTTACTCGCTCACAATTTTGTCGAGTCAGAGTGTTGGGGCGCCTAGGATGGACGTTCCACCTTAATATTTTGCTTAGGGTTACATGCATGTTTGAGGTATTTGGTGATAATGTTCAAAGCGCAATTGACGTAACCCACGAAGACAAGCTAAGATAAGCCGAGTGAAGCAATGCAAAATCTCCACGATTGTCCGTCCATTATATTTTACCCCGTGGCCACACTGTTGGTTCATCTCCGGTCCGGACCCACCCCTCTATTATTGCCCGCCAATTGCTTCCCACTTATTGGCTCCCTCCATCATTTTTAGGCTGAACCATTGCTCTTCATGCATCATCATTTCCACTCAGCTTTTTTACTTTTCCAAAAAGATTAAAATTATCTTCTTCTTTTTTTCCTTCTTTTTTTTCTTTTTGGTGTTTTTAAATTAAAATGGACTTTTTATTTTTTAATAAAATAAAAAGAGCAGGAGAATTAGGATAGGGGATGGCCGGGATGACATAGTAAAAGAGCTTCGTGGGACCCACCACTCATATTATTTAATTTGTTTATATATAATTATGTCCTTGTGGACGGATCCATCAAGAAAACGAGTACACGGAGTTTCTTAATTACGTAGTAGTACAATATACTCCGCATTATTTGTATTAATTAAATGATAATATTAGTATTAATCACTCCAAAGGAATAAAATGAAATGAACTGTACGTATGTACGTCATGTGGACCATATATATATATATGTCTCCATTGGTAGCAATTTTTTAAATAGCATTAAGGTTTCGTATTAATTTTTAATGTTAAAGATTAATTTTAAAATTGTTAAAGTTAAACGGTATCGTTTGATTGTTTGGCTAGATTCAAAACGACAGATTTGAATAGGGTCATCTTCGAGAAATCAGGGGCTTGCCGCTTGCACGACGACGTAGAGAACATAGACCCTTATCTCATAGTGAAGTAATTTTTTTGAACAATAACTAACATTATAACGATAAGAATAATAAAATGTCAAACTCATAGTATATATGTGTGTGTGTGTGTGTGTCTGTATATATATATATATAGAAAAAATTGGGACCCATTCGAAAACAGACACAGGCCGGATGACCACCCGGCCCATGCGTAAACATTGAAATTATTACCAAACAAACATTCAAAAAAACTAATTTTATCAATTCAAATTTTCAACTACTGCTTCTCAATCTCTTTAAAAAATATGATATTTTAAAATTATATGGTGAATGTTTTAAAATAAATCTATGCATATTAAATTATTATTATGTAATATTTATTCTAATAATTAAAATTTAAAAACACAAAAAAAAGAGTCAAAAGATAACAAAAAAATTTCCAAAGGGAGGGGCTAATAATGATATGATGGATGGAGTAGCAAATTCAAAATACTTGAATTGCACGTACAAACATAAACATATAAAAGTTGGTCACTATTGAACAAACTTTCCTCATTCCAATCTCTATATAAAGGCCTCTCAACCTCTCTTCATTTCATTCATCCCATCCATTCAACAATTCTTCTTAATTACACACACATATATATAGTGCTCAATCATATACATATATATATACCACCGCCCTAACTCCGGTACCGACGACTGATCGATCAGGTGGTTTTGGCCGGCCGCCGGTGATCAATCCATATAAATACTAAAGGCCATTTTCAAGTAGTATCCATCTATATAGCCATGGCTCTCTTGGGTGGTCATTTGGCTTTTATGTTTGGAGTTCTTGGAAACATAATCTCATTCATAGTCTTCCTCTCTCCATTGTGAGTACTACTTTTATTATTTAATTTATTACGTAAATAAATCAAAATGACATATTAAGCTTAATTTGTTTCACAGTTTCTACCAAATTATGGTATAATGAATTAGTCGCTTTGTTTGTATACAGGCCAACGTTCTATCAAATACGAAAGAAGAAATCCGCGGAAGGGTACCAATCGATACCCTATGTGATCGCGTTATTCAGCTCAGTTTTGTGGATATACTACGCGCTCCTCAAGTCGAACGCCACCCTTCTCATAACCATAAACTCCTTCGGATGCTTCATCGAAACTATATACGTCAGCTTCTACATCTACTATGCCACCAAGAAGGCGAGGGTGCAGACGGCGAAGATGCTCATTTTGACTGTGTTTGTGGGATTTGGCGCAGTAGTCCTCGTTTCTCAGTTCCTCTTCAAAGGTGCTGTCCGTGCCCAAGTTGTCGGTTGGGTTTGCCTCGTTTTCTCCCTCTGTGTTTTCGTCGCCCCTCTATGCATTGTGGTACGTTGCAGTCTTGTACTATATCGACTTATAATGATTCGTTGAACATAATTGAACTCATATGAGGTAAGCTGATGTATATATGTTGTTTTGCTCTGCAGAGGCAAGTGATCAAGACCAAGAGCGTGGAGAACATGCCAATTTTGTTATCGGTCTTCTTGACATTCAGTGCTGTCATCTGGTTCTTCTATGGCTTGCTCTTAAAAGACGTAAACATAGCGGTAATTAATTTCAACACACTAAATTTGTAAAACTGATGATAATTGATTGAATTCAAATTTTTAGTAATGATCATGCATTGATTATTATCCACAGGTTCCGAACGTGTTGGGATTCTTCTTCAGCATCCTCCAAATGGTGCTTTACATGATGTACAAAGAGAAGAAGAAAAGCATTGATGATGGGAAGAAGCTTCCCGAGCAAGTATTAGTACCACAGAAGGGACAGCCGCCTGTGGTACTAGTGCTAGAGTCTGACGGAAAAATAACCGCTGCAGGATCAGAGCTGATCACACAGGAACAACTGGCCGACATTGTCAAACTCGGATCGCTCATCCGCTCTGACAAGATTCGTTTTGAAACGATCAATGAGCAGTCAGCGGCGGAGGTGCAGATTGCCATTCCCGCCGCTAGCTGCGTCGCGGTCAACTGAACCCTAGTGAAATTCACATACGTACTTACATATTTTACGTCAAATGCATGCGTGCATGCATGCAGATTTCTTTTATGTATGTTGGTCTCATTTTTATGAAAAACTAGCCAGGATATATATAGCCAGCTAGTTTATTTAAATACGGAGTATATTTGTGTTTATTTTAATTTCATGTTACTTCTTCAATATATCTTTCGAGTTTAATTAATGAAGATTTATATATTACTTTGTGTCCAAATTGAATTTAAGCCGGCCACCTGCTATTTAATTTCTTGCTTATTTCTCTCCTTACAATAAACTATCAAGTCCCAGCTGCAATGAAAACAAGCAATTGTCTAAAAACTGGTATTTTTTTAAAGTACGTGTAAAAATAGTACGTAAAATTAACATGTAAAGTAAGTTAAGATAAAATTATGCTTATTAATTTCGTGATTTGGGTATATATAATTTTAGAAATATTTACATAAAATAGCACTAAAATTTAAATCATTTCTCTAAATAGCACTTAAATTGTTTTATTCTCTAAATAGCACTTAATAATGTCCATAATGACTTTTGATGGCAAAAATTTACTTGAATAGTGACTAACATATAATGACTAAAAGTGTTATATTGGGAAGAAAAACACATGTGGTGCTATTTAGAGGAAGTCATTATATTTTAGTGTCATTTAAGTAAATTCTTCTTTATTTTATGTAACAGAAAACGGTAGTAGAAAAGGAAAGGGATCTAACTGCAGGCCACGAGGAGTTGATGGTTAGTTAAATTTGTCTTTGGGTATACATAATTTCACGAGGTTTTGTCCCGATTAATATGTGGAGTATATGATGATTGGTTAAACTGGTTCGTTGCCTTTCCTTAAGGAGAATTTGCCGTTATTTTATGGTATAGAAGCCAAACGTAACCTTTGAAGATGGTGAGCACTTTATTGCCGTTAAAGGAGGGAGTATCATTAACTTTCCTATTCCGACATCCTTGAAATAAGAGAAATTTACCTAAATAGGATTAAAACATAATGACTTTCTCAATATAGGACCATATGTTTTTATTTCCCAATGTAGGACTTTTGGTCATTATCAAATAGTCATTATTCAAGTAAATGTCCATCATTACTGGACATTATTCCTTGCACTAGGTCATTATTTAGTCTTATTTAGGGAATAAAAAAGTTTAAGTCCTACATTGGGAAAGTCATTATGTTTTAGTTCTATTTAGTGCAAATTTTACTTGAAAATAATAGACTTAAGCTCAATTCAACTCTAAACATGAACTCAAAACGTTGAGGTAACCACATTATTATGAACATCGCGATATTAGGTTGCAGAGCGGGTGTGGGAAGGTAAAAAAAGATTATTCATCTTCCCCAGATGTTGTCTAGGCACAAAATTCTTCAAATGCTCAACCAAGTCGAAATGGAGGATCTCGTGCGTATGCGTACGTATTTTGTAACGCAAACCTCTTGAAATCTTGTTGTGCTGCATCAACTGGTTCAAAGTTCTCATTGTCATCGTTCGGACCGTATTCGCGTATTGCAAATCCTTCGTCTTTGATAATCATGTTATGTAAGATGCACCAAGCATACATAACATTTCGTAATTTTTTTGGTTTTGCACAATGTGTCATCTCTACTTGAGCACACCAAAAAGACGTTCCACATTTGTCCTTATCGATTCTTAGTGTTTGAATATAAATAACCTATCTTGGGCCACAACCACAAACTTGAACTTTTGGTTGAATTCGTTCATTGACATGGTATCAGAGCCTTGATGACCAAGAGGATAGGTCACGAGTTCGGAACACACCGCCACCCAGTTTAAAAAAGTTAAGGTTTCTAGTGCAAGGCAGAAAGAGGTCATGCCTGCATGTGAGGAGGTGTGTTAGAGTATATAAAAATCATTTCTGAATGACAACCACAAGCTTGAGTTCTTTGAGTCATTGCAGAACGATACAATTTTGACTATAGCCTATTTGATTTCGTTGAATATATCACACCGCCCCAGAACATTGAAATCATTGTTCAACAAACCACCCCAAAAAGGCAAGCCAAATCCAAAGATCGTGAGAGGCTACGGCCTCAAGCATGACTGAGGGGTGCTTGTGATCACTGCACGTATTTTATACTTGCCATGCGTTGGGACAATTACACCACACCCAGTGTGAAACACCCGTACCTGCGTAACCCTAACCAATGAGTTAGTGAATCAGGTTGCTTCTAATTTGATACTCACAAGCACATTATTTAAAAACATTTAAAATAAAATATTCATTCTTAATAGTTTAAAATAAATATAAGTTGATTGGAGTAAACAAATGAAATGATGCGGAAGCCTTTAAAAACAATATTCAAAACATTCTTTGAACATAACTGAATAGATTCAATAGAATAAATAGTTAAAATGGAAAAACTTTAGACAATCCGCTTCACCGAACATCACTAACTGCTAGGTTGCTCATCTGATCCTTGATTTCTACCTGCATGCAGTAAAAAACAACAAAGACTACACGCTCAGCTGAAAGCTGAGTAAGAATATATCTAACACTAAAACTAATTCATAGACTATCATGTATCAATATATATATATATATATATATATATATATATATATATATATATATATATATATATAATCACACAATATCTAAAGAATGAGCAAATATCATTATTGAATATCATGATCTATAGTTCATTTGTTTCTGTTCAAATCTTACTTATTCTTAATTACTACACTTGACCTACTTGGCTAAGATTTCATTTTTGACTGACTAGAGTTATATTATGGACACTTGGACGGATCCCCCCGAGGCCATTGTGTTGTAAATTTTTTTATAAAGTTTTTAAATATACAATTACTATTTTTAATTTCACACCAACTTTCATATAAAATGAATTAAAAATTATATCAGTCAAGCATCATATAAACGCAAACCGAGAAGAACTTAAAGGGACGGATGGATTATTTGCAAATATCAATTTTAAAATTACTACTCCGAAAGCTTTTGCATGCAACAGCCAACAGCTTTTCGTTTGTGCCAACATCAATTTTAAATAAATTGAAATACAAATAACACTTTAAAAGTGTAGTCATTCATAAAAGGAAAAATTATCCAGAATAATCTCAATTTTATCTTTTTCTAAATAATCATATTTTTCAACATGATGCATAATAATCACAATTTTACCGGAATTTCTGACCTTTGGATCGCATGCAATTAAGCTGCTAACAGTTAGTTAATGGAACTTGTTCTGCGCAACAAATAAAATGAAAGTTGAGATTATTTTTTATGAACATTTGTTTTTATTTTTTATTGTTTTGAAACTTTCCTTTAAATTTTTAAAATGACTTTGTACCTTTATCATTTTGTTTTAAGAATAATCTTACCTCTGAAAAATAAAAAATAAAAAATAAAAGAAATCACCATAAATAAGTGTAAAATATAAAGAAAGTGTCAAAATAAAAGCTCCATATTTCAATCCCAAAATAGGAATTCGCACTGTGATAATGTGACACTGTATATGGACATTTTGCAATATTTTTTATAATGTACTCCCTCCGTCTCAGGAAACCTTTCTCCTTTCTTTTTTCATCCGTCCCAAAAAACACTTCCCATTTCTATTAAAAAGTCACTTTTACCCCTTACTTTTTCCTACTCTACCTATCACATCATACTTTTTTATTAATAATCTATCCATCAAATCATACTTTTACCTATCACATCAAAGGATATTTTTGGAAATTCAATATCAAAATACACTCCCCTTAAATCCCCCTTCAAAATCAAAACTCTCATATTTTCCGGGACGGATGGAGTATATAGTCATGGGCCCCGTTTGGCATCAACGTTAGAGATTAGAGTTAGCGTTTTGAAAAAACATTCTGACGGTAGCCTTTATTATTAACGTTTTCCGAATTAATCTACACCATTAATATTTTATCCAAAATGCTAACGCTAATTGAAAACGCTCTTCCCAAACAAGCCCATGATTAACACTATTTAACTCCTATGAAAACAAAAAATTTCAAAAATAATCTTGATTTTTCAACTTGTAGATAGTCATGATTGACACTATTTAACTTCTATGAAATCATGTTATTTTTGTTAACCAGTCGTTAGTCGCTTAATAATGACTCAAAACTCGCAAATTTCAATAAAATAAATAATTTTGTAAAACAGAGAGAATCCTAGATAATTTTTCCTTCGTAAGATACAAAACGTCCTTGTTTTAGAGGAGGCAAGAGTACAAAATATTTTTTTTGTGACTCCAATCCATAATTTGATTGAGCGCGGATTCAATCTCAAGTATGAAATGAAAAGGAAAGAGCTCGATCATTGTGATTTGACAAAAATGATTCATAAGCCATATGTACCAAATCATAATTATTATCTCCACAATCGACAAGGTTACACGA